TGCTCCCCTGGACTTGACACTTCATCCCTGTTTCTCTGTGCTCCCCTAGGCTGCCTTGTCCATCTCATGTCCATGTGCTGCAGTCCTTCTTGTTGTTGTAAGGTTTCACTGAGTGAACAAGGACTCACAGTGACCTTATTAACAGAGACGTGAGCCTTGCCCTGTCCTGTTCCATGCTCAGGCTCTCTAACTAAAATGCTTGAGTCCATTGTCACAGTCGCTGGATGAGTCCATCTTCAAGGACTGGCCCCTTCTGATAATATGCCCAAAGTGTATAAGACGGAATACCCAGGTGACATTTCTACCAAAACAGACTTGTTTGTTCTTTTGGCCATCCATGGAGTATACAGTATTCTTCTCTTAACATCATAACTCAAAAGCATTGACTCTGCTTCTGTCACTCTTATTCATGGTCTAAATTTCGGATCCACAGAGCGTGAAAAGACTATAGTTTGAATCAGGTGAAACTTAATCCTTGCCCTTTAGAATTTTCAAGAGATCCTTGAAAGCATGTTTTCCCAGTGCAACGTGTCTTTAGTTTCTTTACCACTGTTATCAAGTCTGTTGGTTGTGACTCCAAGTAAAATACTTGAAGCCTTGACTTGTTGTTGTTATGTGCCATCAAGTCACTGTGACTCACAGTAACCCTATGTACAACAGCCCTGAAACCTGCTCTGTCCTGTGACCACTTTGCTCTCTCCGACACACCTACCCTCATTACACCAGTCACTGCATCAATCCATCTCCTCAATGCTCTCCCTCTCTTTATCCATCCCTCTATTCTTCAAAGCATGAAGCCTTGATTATGTCACTATTTTCTCTGTCATGATGTTGTTCCCAAGGTACACAAATCTAATCCACCAGTTGCTGTGCAGGGAAAAAAATGGGCACTCTCCTCCTCTGCTGTTATCTGCGTCTGAAAACCCACTAGAGGGTCAGCTGGATAATCTCTTACTCAATGGTACTCGACATCATCATAATGTTGGCCCAGAGGTGAGGATTTTTGTTTTATTGATGTTGAGATGCAACCCATATTGATGGATACTCTATGCATTGTTCTTCTACAGTAAGTGCTTTGAGTCTTCTTCCCCTTCTGCAAACAAGGTAGTGTCATTGGGGACTGTGGTGGAGTTTTCCTCCAGTCTTCATTGTTCTTCACATAGACCAGCTTCTCAAATTATTTACTCAGCATACAGATTGAATAGATATGGATATAGGCTCGACCCTAATGTAGCTATTTCTTAATTTTAACCCCTGCAGCACTTCCTTCATCTGTTCAGACAACTGTTTAAAATGTTCCTATTTTTGTGAGTGATTTTCTCATTTGCTCTCTAAATGTCACGTCCACCTCTTCTGAATTTGTGGCTGTTACATGCTACTATCCATCAAGTATAGGCTGGAGGCTCAGCGAAGGTGAGGAAGACCCTCAACCAGGTGGATTGACACACTGACTGCTGCAGTGGGCTTTTGTGTGTCAGGAACTGTGAGGATAGCACCAGACTGATCTGGGTTCAGGTCTTTTGTTCATAGAGTTGTTATGAGTCATACTCAACTCAATGGTACCTAACAACAGCACAGCAACCTGCTACTTCTTTGCATAGCTCAGTGTATCAATCCCACAATAATAGTGTCTCGCACCACTTGAAGATGTCAAGAATTTGGGTTTATATTAGCTGTATTCTCTTGATCAGAGCATGTCATGGAGTTAAAAATCAAGATCTCAGCTTTGTTGTCCTCTTCAGAGGGCTTGAATGGGGATCGGGGTCTTGTTTCCAGGGTGACTGTGTTAAGTGGCTACCATGTTGGGCTTGGCAGTGGGATGGAGAATTCAGTTCCTTTCCCTTCGGACTTCACCCTTAGATTGCTTGACTTAGTGTTCTCCCTAAGTGGCCTTTGGTTGGCCATTAGTTCTATCCTGATGGCATGGTCCCTGGCACAGCACAGAAAGAAACCAAAGTCTCTTTTAAGACCTAGTCTTGGAGGTCGCATGTACTGCCATTTCTGTACTACCCTGTGGTTTGTATGTAAACTCCATTCAGTGTGGACTGGGATGACAGAAGACCATGACAGCCTACAAGTGGGGTCAGTTGAAGTTCCTCAGCACTGAGCCTGTTGGTATTTATTTTACCTTTGTCATAGGTATGCCTTCTAGTAGAATCACTTGTGTCACATTAGTGATTCGTTTTCTGGAGCATTTAAAGTAGCTTCGTTATCTTTATGTCTCAACTAGCATATTGCATTTAATGTATCCCACCCTTTTCACCTAATTCAGGCCATGATCTTGTCAGTCATTGCAATGCATCTGAGAGCTGGACAATGAATGAGGACAATAGAAGAATTGATGGCTTTGAGCTGTGGTGTTGGAGAAGAGCACTGAACAGAAGACAGATGAGTTGTCTCCTCCCATAAACATCGACAGCCTTGGAAACCCACTGGGGCAGCATTTACGTGCAGGTGGTCGTTATTAGATCAACAATGTGTCTCTGGATTACTCCTTTAATGATGGCAGATAAATCACAGCTTACAAATAATTGTTCAACAATAGCAAATTCAATATTTCTAATCCCGTTTACACATGGTTGAGGACCTTGTCTGGCCTCTGATTGACTCCCCTGCATGAACTGTGATGCAGGGATTAGCTCACATTTGAATACAACTTGAACACCAAAAGGGCACAGAGGAGCATCTGGAGGAACAAGGTCACTACACAAGGGGAGTGTCCACAGCCCCTTCTCAGAAGGTCCCTCCTCCTGTCTTCTAGTTTCCCTTCCTCTCACCACTACTGGTCTTTGTCTAGCTTTTTAATAACTCATAGCCAAATAAAACAAATTCTTTCCCAAGAGCTGTTACCACTTCCTGTTTCTTTCCTTCTAAGTTTATCTTAGAATTAACTAGAACACCTTTCTCCCATATTTCTCTCATGTAACAGCTGAAACCTGATTTTCTTTACTGTTCTGGTTGTTAATAGTCCAATCAGGGTCTCCACATTTGTCTTACTCCCTTGTTGATCACACTGATGTCCCTTGGCCTGTTGGCATTCTTTGGTTTTATACACAGTAGTAACAGGGGACTTGTCTTCCCCTGCTCTTTGTATTTGTTGTTGGGGTTTTTTTCCTTTTTTTAAACTCAGAACTGACTAGATTTAGGATTTACCCAACTCTCATTAACACAGCAAAGGAAACCCCTATTTTCCAAATAGGGTCATGTCCATGTATAAAAGAGTTAGGATTTTCATCTTGAAAGTATTAAAGGGAAAGATGCAAAGTTCAAAACACAAGCAATGTTGAAATAAATTACTTTAACCTTGCAAATATAAGACTCAGAAAGGACTCTGGGTGGTTTTCAAGGCATAATGGGGGCCCTGGACCCTACTAGAGACATTCTTGCTTGGATTAATTGACTGATCTCATCATTGTCTTTTAAATCCTGTGGCTTTCAAATTTCAAATCATCAGCCTCTTTATTTTCTGCTATCATTTATTTGAAATAAAGAGAACTTTGAAGGTCTTTTAATTGTATAGAAATTATCTTCAATTAATATTAATATTTAATAGAGGTTTTCTGAGGAAAGAAATTTTGAAAAACTTTTCTTTATATTAAGACTAGGGCACAAGTAATTGTGTTTCTTTTGTAGATTGTTACAATTACGTATTTTCTAAATAAACTCTTTTGACTTTAGAATTGCCTCAGGGTGGATTTCAAATTAATATATTCAATTTGTCTCCTTTTATCCATAAACATTTGTGGTTTCATTTACTAGCAGAAATGCAAAATTTTTGTCTACAGGGTATTTTGAGGGAATTAAAAATATGTGAGCACTTACATACTTTGGGTATGTTGCAGGGCGGGACTAGTCCTTGGAGAGGGACATCATATTTGGGAGGGTGGGGTGACAGTGTAAGAGAGGAGATCCTGGATGAGATGGATTGGGGTAATGGGGGTAAGTGTGTCAGTGACATTATCAGAGCAGTGTTGAGAGCTTACTGTACAAGGGTTGCTATGAGTCACAGGTGACTTGACAGCACATAACAACAATAACAACATATACATAAACTAGCAGTGACTGTACCATATTTTGAGAACTGTAATACTTAGGTGGTGTGAGGTTGCTATAATATACACTAGACGTTAGACAATAGACATTAGGTTTCCTTTGTTGGTAAATTCTGCTTTCCTTAATTTCTGATGAAATGTGAATGATCCTACCTTCTTCAGCGGAATCCTAGTTTTTCCTTTGTCTCTGGTTACTGTCAGCCTTTCTGTGACACTGTCACCACGCTCTCTGGCACGCTCAAGCCCTTTGCTGCAATCACGGTGTTGGTCCATCTCCTTGGGGATCTCTATCACTTCTGCCTCCTCTTTCTTCTACTCATTCCTTCCTTGAGGTGACGCCAGATACAACAGGGTTTGGATCTGTTGTTCACAAGTCACCATGAGTTACAGTCAACTTGATGGCACCTAACAACAGCAACAACATGGAAAGGTAAACGTGGAATATATTTTAAGGAGATGCCACGATATGAAAGATGAAAGTGTTCCTAAGTGTATGGAGTCCTAGCAGGACAGAAGAAATACTCACCTGTGCATAAAGGAATAATGAGTAAGTTCATTTGAATTGATATGTGAAGAGAACATCCAGATTTATGTTCCATTTGAGCTCCAGTTTAATACAATTGATTGGAAAATAAGTCAAGATTAGGAAAACAAATGTTTTGTTCACAAGAGAGGAAGATCCTGGATGAGATGGATTGGGGTAATGGGGGTAAGTGTGTCAGTGACATTATCAGAGCAGTGTTCAGAGCTACTATACAAGGGTCGCTATAAGTCACAGTTAGTTGGTGAAGTTGTTTCAATCCTGTAGACAAAGTGTTGGTATTGGGATCTCATGGCTTAGCAGACAGTGTCTAAAGAAACCTACATGGTACAGACACCATGCTAAAGCACGCGCTGCCCGGTCTACCTGCAGAATACTAGAAGAAGCATCCTTCTTTATCTCCACAGGAGCCCAGTCCTGGTTTTCCAGTGCAACTACCGCCACGTGATCTGCCTGGACTGCTTCCACCTCTACTGTGTCACCCGGCTCAATGACAGGCAGTTTGTCCACGATCCCCAGCTCGGCTACTCTCTACCTTGTGTGGGTAAGACTGGCACTTTGTTTTTCACTTTGCTACTGTTATTAACAGCAGAAGATGTAGTGGTGTCTCCAAGGCCAAGTGCTAGGTAACAAGATTGTTGCTCTGTGAGGAGCTAGGGAGACTGAGGCATTTGGTTGGTTCTTTTTATTGCTTCAGTGGAAGAACACTGCTGTTCATTGCTCTCCCATCCATCTCCTAATCTGATTCTTGCCAGTACAAATTGCCTGCTTTGAATATTTATCAGAAAAAGAATTGTGTGATAGCATTTTTTTGTGTCCACCTTTATTCACTTAGTGCACCAAGATGTAGCCAGTATCAGTACATATTGATTTTTATGGCTTAATAATAATCCACTGTCATACTTTGTTTACCTGTTCTTTCGCATATTGATTTGCATTTCTAAATTCTGTACCATTTTGCTGTTGTGAATAGTGATGCTGTACAAGTTTGTGTAAAAGTTTGAGTTTGGAAATCTACTTTCTATCTTTTAGATGCACGTGCTATGGGTGGATTTTCTGTTGTTGTTTTATGTGGTTGAGTTGAATATAACTCATAGCAATGTTGTGTATAACAGCGCTGAACCCTGCTCTGTCCTGATTCAATCCCACTATCTCTGACACACCTATCCTCAGTTATTGTGTCAACCCATCTCATCCAGGGTTTTTCCCCTCCTGCACTGTCCCCTCCACCCTTCCAAGCATGATTTTCTTCTCCAAAGACTCGTCCCTCCTGGCTATATGCCCAAATTTTGTAAGATGGAGCCTGAAAATCCTTGCCTCCAAGGCTCTCTCCAGGACAGACCTATTAGTTCTCTTGGCAGTCCACGATATGTTCAATACTCTGCTCCAGCACCTCAGTGCAAAGGCATTGATTCTTTTTCTGTCATCCGTGGCCATTATCCAGCTCTCTGATGCATAACAAGTAATTTTGAAGACCATGGCCTGGATCAGGTGCACCTTAGTCTCTAGACTGACATCCTTACTCTTTAGCATTCTAGAGAAGTCCTTGACAGCAGATTTTCCTAATACAATTAATCTTCTGATTTCCTGACTGCTGGTGCCAAGAGTGTTGATTATAGAGCCAAGCAAGCCAAAACTATTAACAATCTCTATGTCTTCTCCATCTATCAGGATGCTGCCAATGGGCCCAGTGGTGAGAATCTTTGTTTTCCTGATGTTAGGCTTCAATCCATTTTGCAAACTACAGTTCCTTGACCCTCTTTAGCAAATGCTTCAGATCCTCCTCAGTTTCAGCCAGTAAGGTTGTGTCATTTGCATAACGCAGGTTGTTGATGAATCTGCTGTGTAATATGTTATTGGAGTTTCATATTATTAAGAAATACCAACCTGTCTACATCAGTGACATATCCAGCAGTAATGTATAAGTACTACTATTTTTCTAATAATCACCCTAATGATTACTGGAAATAAGGATGATGACATTTTGTCTCCTGTAATCTGGCATGTTCTCAGGATGGCCCAGGCCTTGGGGAGAGAAAAGACACCGTGGTTGGAATGTCAGAGAGTCAGTCAAAGAGAGGCTGACCCTCAACGAAATGGATTGACACAATGACTAACCACAGGCTTGACAATCTATTGGGCATCCAAGGATGCTGTAGCAGAGATTCTGATCTGTTAATCATAAGATCTCTATGAATCGTAGGTGGCTTGATGGCACCTGGGAACAGCAGCAGCAGTAACGGTGGTTGTAAAGAGAGCTCTGGTGGCCTAAGGAAGTTGTGTTGCTAACCCAGAAGTCTAGCTTCTCTGGTGGAGAGAATCCACCAGTACCTGCAAAGGGAAAGATGGGCAGGTTCCTCTTGTATAGTTTAAAGCCTTGAGAAGGAGCTGGAGGGATGCCTTTGGGTCTGTTTCAACTACATGTCAATGAGAAATAGAATACACATGAGACTGACTCCATAGTAATTTTGCTTTGCATTTCCGTAATGATCAGTGCTACAGGGTATATGACAATTAGCCATCTGAAACAGGACAAGCATTACAAAGTGAATTGTGGGAGGGAGAAGGAAGAAAATGTCTATGAATGAATGAATGAAAACCAATCTCTTGGTAAACTTTCACTAAATTACAACAAAAAGGGTGGGGGAAAGCTTTTCTTTTGCTTGAGCTCTTGGCCATTCTTGTGCTGTCGCTGGAGAACTGTCCATTCAAGCCTGTTTCCCATTTATAATTGAGCTGTTTGCATTTTGTTGTTGTTGTTGCTGAACTCTAAGCGTTCTAAACCCTTATTAGGATGAAGGTTACCCTGTATTTTATTCCTTCCTGTGAGCTGTCTCTTCCCTTTCTTGATGAAACACCCTGATGCATTGTTGTTGTTGTTGTTGACTGCCTTTGAATCAAGCATGACTCATAGTGGCTCTATGAACAAGAGGCCTGAAGCACCTCTACAACTATCGACAATTTATCGAAGGTCATAGAGTTTTTGGAGGTGTGTTGTGTAGGAAGCGGATGCCACTCCTTCTTCCAACTCTGATGAATGAACTGTTTTACTTTTGATGAAGTGAACTTTTTTCTTTGGTTGCTCATGCTTTCAGTGTCTTCACTGAGAACCCTTTTTCTGAAATGCGGTCTTGAGGCTTTCTCCTTTTCTTTCTTGGAGGAGTTTTATTTTAGCTCATATCCTTAAGCCACTGATCCATCCTGAGGTAATTTGTGAATATGAAATGAGATATTTATTGAGAATAGACCTGTTTTGCTGACTGCAATGTGATTTAATATGCTTCCTTGGTTTTGAGAGCCATGCTTTGAACTTAACGTTATTTTGATTGGATTATCCGGTTTTAGTTGATTTTCTTTTCATACTTAGTTTTAATGTGTGTCACCACTGAAAAATTATGTCTTAGAATGATGGGGAAGCGAAACATAAAAGCTAATGGCTTTGTTGGCACTCTAATTGACAATATGCGTTTTTTAATCATATCTACTAATAATGTACAGCTTTTAAAATAAGATTCACATAGTATATGTGTTAATTTATTGTTTAAAAAAGCATATTGAAAGGCACTATGCTTTTGTATTTCTTACAAAAACACTTTTATAAGAAGAGTGAAGCATTCATTTCACAGATTTCTGTACAGGTTGGAAAATTCCATTTTCTAATTCTTTTAATGTAGTAATTTTTCATTGCTAAACCTTCCATACCCCCCTGAAGCCACATAATAGTGGAAACATTTCTGAAGATTCATTTTCAAACTATTCTTTCATACTATGGGTTCCATAAAAAAAAGTCTTAATTTTTTAATAATTCTTTCTTGTAATTTCTAGCCCAATGACCTTAAATGGACCATTTCTCTAAACAGCCTGGTAGCTAGTGAGAGATAATGCTATTTGCAGTCATGAATGGAGTAACTAGGTCGTTCCCTGCTACCAATTTTAAAGCATTGGGAAACGTATTTTTGGTTATTATTTTTTTTAACAATTCTGTTAAAGGATTCAGAGGCAGTTCAGGGTTATGCAATTCTCCTTAAAAGCATTAACCTCACATTTGCTATTGCTTTTTACTTTGGCAAAGATCACTTCACTGAATGATAGCAACATGATTACTCACATCTTCCTTATCTTACAATACACTCACAGTCATTTCAGCTTTACAGTATTAATATTTTAAAATAATATTGGGGTGCTGTAGTCCATGGTGAGTTCTCCTGCTCATGCAGTATTGATGTTGTGACATGATATTGGGGTGCCGTAGTCCATGACGAGTTCTCCTGCTCATACAGTTACTGATAGTGTAACGTGATATCGGGGTGCCGTAGTCCTTGGTGAGTTGAGCTGCTCACCCAAAGGCCACGTCTCCTGTCCTAATCCACCAGCAGCTCCGCAGGAGAAAGATTCTCAGTCTCCACCCATGTGATTAAGAACCTCTGACAATCCTTGGGAGGGTCAGCGATGCTTCAGGTCTGACTCAGTGACGATGAGTGAGGTGTTGTTTGAGACGTACTATTTAGGAAATTATAATAGTGTATGTGATACACTCTCTCAATATACTCTTTCTATGTAATACCGTCATCATGAATCCATTGTAGTACCTCATTTCCTGATATTGATGAACATATTATTTTAATTTTTTTATACACTGCTATTAGTAATAGATTTTTTTTGTGCATACACACATTTTTATATTTTTTCAGAGTGTCAATATATCCTCAGAGGTGTGTTACGCTGTCAAGAGAAAAATGCACACCTACTTGTACTAAGAAAAAAATTGCACTGGGAAAGTTGGCTGTCAGGGATCTCTCCAGAGGACTGAAGAGACTCAGTCTGGAGATTAAGGTGAGCCTGATCCAGGCCATAGTCTGCAATTGCTTGCTATGCATCAGAGAGCTGGATAATAACTAAGGATGATAGAAGGAGAATTGATGCCTTTGAGCTGTGGTGCTGGAGAAGAGTGTTGAATATACCATGGCCTGCAAGGAGAACAAACAGGTTCGACCTAGAGAGGGTGAAACCAGGCTGCTCCTTGAAGGCAAGGATTCTGAGGCTTCATCTGACGTACTTTGGGCATGTTGCAAGGAGCGACCAGTCTTTGGAGAGGGGCATCATGCTTTTAAGGGTGGAGGGACAGCACAAGAGAGGAAGACCCTCGATGAGATGGATTGATTCAGTGACTAGGATAATGACGGTAGGTATGTCAGAGACAATAAGATTAGCACAAGATAGCGCAGGTTTCAGGGCTATTTTACAAAGGGTCACTGTGAGTTGCAAGCAACTCAACAGCACGTAACAGCAACAACAGTTGTGCCGACTTTTCCACATGCCATACGTGTCCCACTTCTCATCTCACCCAGCTGCCCTGAGAAAGAGCCGGGGACTTTCCCTGTCTCGCCAGCACACTTGTGGAAATCTTGCCGGTATTTTTTCCTCTTGTTCTTAAGACAGGGTGCTTTCTCAATTTTTTCTAAAATTTTTTTTCTTTTGTTGTTATTATCTGCCATCCAGTCACCTTTGACTAAGGGACAGATTAAGTTAATCTACCCCTTCCTA